TCCTGAGCAAGCCATGCTAGCTCAGGAATTCTGGGAGTTGAAGTCCATAATTCATAAAAGGGCCATAGTTGCCCACCCCTGATCTAATTGATCACAATTGACCACTTAAGGAGGCTATTAACAGCATATGTCAAAGGTGTGGATTTGAGGTTTTTACATTCCCAGAGAGGTATGTTTCATTCCCATGGGGTGAAATGTATCAATCCAGGAAAACAAATGGATTCAGATTGATTTATATGGGACAATCATGTGTCTTAATAGGAGAGGGTTAACTGATTGCAGGCATGTGTTTATAATTGTTTTACAACAAGAAAAAGGTTAAGGAAATCTTTTTTACAACAGCGAGATAACAAATGCCTATAGAGTAGCTCTCTATTTAATGCTATAATATACTTTACTATATTTATTTATTAATATCCCATTCAGCACCAAAATAATCCAGATTCCAGATGATATAAAGTCTCCTGCTGGAGCAGTGGGTTGGATTAGATGGACTCCAATGTTCCTTCTAATTCTGCTGTTCTATGATTCTGTAAGGATCTCCTGCTGGAGCAGGGGGTTGGACTAGAACAGGGGTCTTCAAACTTGACAGCTTTAAGACTTGTGAACTTCAACTCCCAGAGTTCCTCCTCCAGTCATGTTAGGAATTCTGGGAGTTGAAGTCTACAAGTCTTAAACTTGCAAACTTTGAAAACCCTTGGACTCGAAGAAGATCCCTTCCAGCCCTAGATTCCTGTCCTATTTCAAAGAGTCTTCTGAAGCTAGGGTTTGTGTCCTTCCTCTCCTTTTTTTCCTGTCTCCTCCCTCCCTCCTTCTTGCTCTCTCTTTCTTTCTCTCCCTTCCTTCCATCCTGTCTTTGTCTACCCCCTTTTCTTTCTCACTTTTTCTTTCTTTCCCTTTTTTCTTTCCTCTTCCTTCTTTCTCTCTTTCCCTCTCTTTTTCCCTCTCTTTCCCTCTCTCTCTCTCTTCCCATCTCCCTTTCTCTCTCTTTCCCTCTCTTTCTCTCTCCCTTTCTATCCTTCCCTTCCCCTCTCTCCATCTAAAGTTAGGAGAGGAGACCCACCCACCTGAAACAAACACACACACACAAACTTTCAAGCACCTGGCAGTGTCGCTCCTTACGAGGGTTCTTCCTGACCAGTATCCTGTGCTGCGTTGCTCGGAAAAGCTGACAGGCAAGGCTTCCGGGTCCAACAAAGGGGCTACCCCTTTGAGACTTCCAAAGACATCCTCCCCTCCCACTTTTGGGGAAAGGGCTGAGAACTTCAAGTGATGTATGTGCTGCAGCATCACGCTCCCTCCCCCTCCCCCACCGGCAGCTCTGGGCTAGGGAGTGGTTTGGCTTTCCTGACTGCCTGAAATGTTCCTTGCTCCTGCAGCTGGTGGCAGAGGGAAAGGCAAGCCATCCAGGTCAGAGCTGTCGCCACTCGGCTCCCTGCCAGCCCACAACTCATCCCCTGCCCGAATTCTCCAGCAGCTTCTGGGGCTCGTCTGCAAGGGGGATGACCAGGAAGCACGAAGCTATTCTGCCTGCATTGCCCCTCGGCCAGCTGCCCCTCCCTCGCTGGGCCGAGTGTTTTGGTAGAGTGCGGGCCGCCGCTAAAAGAGGTCCATGGGCTGGAAGGTACGACTGATGGCGGGGAAGGGAGATCTGCGCTGGCGAAGCTTGACTGCCTTTTGGGGCTTACTCGGGGCTGCCGCCTGCTTGACCACCACCCCGCCTCAGGTCCCACATCAGCCCACGACAAGGGGACATCCAGGATGGTGGATGGGCAAGCAGACAACCCTCGGGGGAGGCATTTTCTCTCAGGCCACCCACATGGAAGGCCCCATGGAAGCTGAAGCTGGGCCCAAAAGGCAGCCTCGCCTCATCATGCCCCACCCCCAGGCAGCCCTTTGGCTGATCACAGCAAACCTGATGTGGATCTTCCTTCCCCGCCACCAGCATTAGGGCTCAATCACAGCATTCTCACAGCGGCTGCCTGCATTAGCCCAAAGCGCACAGGTCGATGGGTGGGAGAGGAAGGGGCGATACAGGCAGCATAGCATCATGCTCCCTGGTTGCCAGCTGAACCTGGGAACAGTGGGGGCCCCGCCAAGATCCGGGAATGGGGAGGGATTAACGCGACTCGCAGGTTTACCTGTGAGCAGGCAGATCAGGGCTGCTCAGTTGGGGCACAGGCACCATGTGGGGAAGTCAGGTTAGGCAAGCCACGAGGGCCCAGCGTGCCATATAGGAAGGGAGGAGTGACTGGGTGGGGCGAGAGGAGGGCGGGTGAGCTGAGCGAGCAAGTGAGCGATGGGTGGGCGGGGCAACCGAGCAACCGGTTTGGGGGCGTGGCCAGCCAGAAGTGCTACCAATTCCGCAACCCATACCAAATTCTTGCTACCGGGTCGTGAGTACCGGTGCAAACCGGCTGAATACCATCTCTGAGTCTATATATCCAAATTTATGCATTGTTGTCAAAATTTAACTTTTCCTCCACTGAAAGGTTATTAATGTATGAAAAGTTTTATATATAATTTTAAAGTAACAAATATATCTTTTCTCACATTGTTTAATCTTCAATTAAAAATTATTTCACTAATATTTTAAAACAGAAGCTAACAAAATAATAAAGCAGTTCATAGAATAGGTAACTAGAAAAAAATGTACAGTATTACAGAGAGTAATGCAGCCAAAATAGACTACAATATAAATTATTAATTATAGACTACAGAGCATTTATAAAAGATCATGAGATTAATTGATAGTAGCTCACTGTACAAATGCAAGCCTGTGTTCAAAGGAACACATTACTAAATAAATAAATAATTATCTAAGCTAGAGAAAATATTCCCTGGAGAAAACATTTCTGGGAAGTTTACTACGCCCTGTTACATAAAAGTGCAAGTATTATTACCCAATTGCAGTTCTTAATAACTGGAGGATATGTGAGGTTATAGCAACAGTCAAATAAGAAAATAATTTATAGATTCTCTTGACTCTGAGAAATAAGATTTAGTTCAATAAAATTATTCACTCCAATCACTGAAACTTCCATCTTTACAAGAAAGATAGGAATTTCTTTCTTCAACTAAACAGATTGTGTTAATCCTGTCTTGGCATTTCTCATTGCATTGTATGTGATATTTATACATGCATAGAAACATAGCACATAATATATCTAGAAATAAAGCTGTTTCCAAAATTTTTAGATTGACAACCTAATTTTAAAAAGTTGGTGTACCAGAATCCAGCAGGAATATCATTGCAATCATTAGACATATTGAATTAAGTTATAGGGGCACAACTAATTTGTCAATTAGAACTTTTAAGGAGCAACATCAAGTTCCTTAAAAAAAACACCATTATTACATAGAAGCACTAAGTAAGCTGGCTATTTTCCAACTCATGCCTTTTGTTCAGATCAGGGTCCCAAATGTCTTTCAACAAATATGTTTTAGAATAGAGATGTGGGGGGAAAGGCAAGGTCACGGGCAGTGCTGTGGAAAAAGAGAAAGGATATCACTGGGAAGATATGGGGACAGACAAGTGACCAGCTAGATATATTACAAAATCCACATAGCGTTGGCCTTCCCATTACCTTTCTTTCACACACAACCAGCCACTGTGTCTAAGCTCTAAATTGGATAGAGGGATGGGTTGACTAGTTGGATATCCTGTGCCTGAATTAAGGGTGGAGATGATGAGTAAGTTATTAATCAATGGCTAAATTTGTCTAGCATAGCACTTTGGGAAAAAGTGATGTAAAGATCAGTGGGTGTGTCAGCATACAGGCATTTGGAGGTGAGAGGAAAGAAGCACAAGCAAGAGACTTGCCCTATTCATCCCACAAGATCCCAGCTGAAACCCGGAGCAACTAACGTGCTTATTTCAGTTCAAAGTCACCTGTTTTATTCACAAAACTCTTTTACATCATGCATACCTTTTAATGTGGAAACCTGCCCACGAGCAGGTTCCAAATTTATTTATTTATTAAATTTAAATGCCGCCCATCTCATTATCAAGCGATTGTAGTCCTGAAGCTTAAGTGGTTTGGGAGTTTGTAACCACATGTTGCACTTATTTCTTCTGAATGAGCAGAACTCACAACTACAACTACAGAATAACTACAGTCCTAAACATTAATCACAACTTTTATCCTGATATATATTTTTCCCCAATATTGCATTATGAAATCTTGCTTTTATCTCAACTAAGGATAAATAATATTCTTTGCTAAATTACAGAAGGATTTAACGCTCAATGTGAGGAGGGAGGAAGATAGAGAAAAAACAGAAAGAGCAATACTATCCAGTTATACATTACTTGGATTGTTGCGCATGCAGCAGAGAATAGACTTGACTTTGATGTTGAAAACCTTTTCTCCCTCTTTTAATCCTTGATTAACAGAGCTAACTACGTCATCTGGAGTAACATCTCCCCTGTGAAAAACAAAGGAACAATGCAATATATATATATGATAATTATTATGAAATTGTTTAGATATTAATAATCATATGACTAATGCTATCCGGATTGCTTTAGTAACTTAATTATTAGATCATTAAAATATTCATTATTCCCATCACCAATGTCAAACACAGGAAGAAGAGATAAAGAATAGTTCATAATCATACATTTTCAATCTCTCCAGGGTCAGGTTTACTTTACCATTCTTTACTGGTACATTGTTTTCACATTTTTGCATTTATTAAATTGCTCTTTTTATAACTATGGAATTAAAGCTTTATTTAAGCTTTCTTATTATAGGGCAAATAGTTTCTTTTCTACTTGGAGAAGAATTCAAATTTCAGAAAAGCTAATTAACAAGAAAATATAGCATACCAGACTACCTTGGCAGGATTTTACAACCAACGGAAGCAGTAAATCTTCTTGACTCCTTTAACCTTTTCAAGAAGTTTTCCTACAAAACTGGTTTGAGAGCTAAGTTTGTAGTTAGTTGTCAAATAATGCTTCAGTTCTATCTAAACAAATGTAAGTGTTGTAAAGTTCTCCAGAAGGGTCAAATTACTACTATGTGTAATTTTATACATAATGGCCAGAAGGCAAGACAAGAAACTAAACAAGGAGAAAAGCAACCTAGAACTAAGGAAAAAAATCCTAACAGTGAGAACAGGGGTGGGATTCTACCGGTTTTGTCCGGCTCTGTAGAACCGGTAGCTCTGAAGAGCAGCAAACATAGAACCGGTTCTATGTCTGCTGCTGTTTTGGCGCACCCACCCACCCGGGCTGTTACCTGACTTTTATTTTCTGCTTTTTCAACCTCAGCTGCTTTGTGCAGCACAGCTGCGGTTGAAAAAGCAGGGGAAAAGAGGCTTTTCAAACGCTGCACACCCGCGTGCAGTGCTGCTCAGCTGTCCAGGCAGCAAGCTGACTACGATTCACACACGCATGCAAGCAGCAAATCGTAAATTACCGAACCGGTAATTACACCAGTCGGATCCCACCCCTGAGTGAGAACAATTAACCAGTGGAAGAGTTTGCCTTCAAAAGTTGTGGGTGGGCCATCACTGGAGGCTTTTAAGAAGAGACTGGACAGCCATTTGTCTGAAGTAGTATAGGCTCTCCTGCTTGAGCAGGGGATTGGACTGGAAGATCTCCAAAGTCCCTTCCAACTCTATTATTCTGCTATTCTGATTATTGATCCCACAAAGTGAAAAATTTGAAGCATGAACCAGTTTAAATCCTTTAAAGTACTAGAGTTAAACTGGTAAAGCCAGTAAAGCCACAAAATACACCCCAGTGATATTAATTAAGATATTAATATCATAATTAGATATTAATGTCATAATTAATGAGACCCGGAGGGAGGCGTTCCCCTTGTAGAAGTGTGCCAGTGGGTTATCGAGCATGGCACCAGTCTAGACCTCAGGGCCGGGGAGGAGGTGTGGTTGTTGTTATCAGAGAATCTCTAATAGCCTCCAGAGTCACTGTTCCACAAGTGCCTGGCTGTGAGACCCTTTTTCTTAGCTTGGGCTCAAGGGATCAGGTGGGATTGCTGCTGCTGTACCAGCCTCCCTGCTGCGTGACAGCTTCCCTACCTGGGCTCTTGGACCTCACCGCAGGGCTGGCGGTGGAATTCCCCAGGCATATAGTTCTGGGGGATTTCAACCTGCCTTCTCTGGGGGCGGGGGCGGAGGTAGCCCGAGATTTCATGGAAACCATGACTTCCATGGGCCTGTCCCAGATCATCCAGAGCCTGATTAGTAATAGTGGTCCCACACCCAATTTGGTGTTCTTGTCGGAGCAGTATCTGTGACCTAGAATTGATGGACCTGTCCTTGGTCCCCTTGTCATGGTCGGATCACAGTCTGGTGGCAATGAGTTTTTCAAAAGCTGAAACCACCCTCCCCCCCACCCCGCAGGGAGACAGGACTTTATTAGATTGGTCTGTCCCCATTGACTAATGGACCTGAATGGGTTCCAGAAGGAGCTGGGGCTTATAACTGCAGGTCTACTGTGCAGTCCGGTCGAGTTCTTAGTCACTGTTTGGAATCGGAAGGTGACTGAGGCTCTGTATAGGATTGCACTCTTGTGACCTCTCCTAATCCGTAGACTTCTCTGTGCCCTGTGGTATAGAGGAACTGAGAGGGATGAAACACATGAGGAGACGTCTAGAGCGCCACTGGTGGAAGACAGGAGAAGAATTCGATCGAACATAGATAAGAGCTGCTACTAAGGCCTACCTTGTGGCAATTTGTGAGGCAAAGTGTAAATACTTCTCCACACTAATTGCGTCTGCTGATAATCACCCAGCAGCCCTCTTTAAGGTGAGCCATCTCCTCCTAGGGAAGGAGGAGATTGAGGTCCCCCTGAAGGAGTGCACTGAGGAATTTGCCGATTTTCTGGAAGACAAAATCGCTTGACTTCATTCCCAGTTAGATGCCGGCGTGGTTGCTGGTCTGGTGGAAGCTCCTGAGGCAGGTTCTTGCCCTGTTATCTGGGAATGGTTTGACCCTGTTGCTCCTGAGGAAGTGGACAGGATCCTAAGGAATATGCACGCAAGCACTTGTGTTTTAGACCCATGTCCCTCCTGGTTTGTGAAAACTTCCCAGGAGATGACAGGCAGGAGGACTCTGGTGGTGATCAATGCTTCCCTACAGGAGGGGACGGTGCCTCAGCACTTTAAGGAGGCTGTAGTCCACCCTCTTCTTAAGAAGCCATCGCTGGACTCCACCCAGTTGGATAATTTCCGACCTGTCTCCAATCTTCTCTTTTTGGGGAAGGTTGTTGAGAAGGTGGCAGCGCAGCAACTCCAGAGGTTTCTGGATGAAACGAATTATCGCAACCTCTACCAGTCAGGATTCAGGCCTGGATTTGGAACAGTGCATTGGTTGCACTTTTGGATGATCTCTGGCGGGAGCGGGATGGGAGTAGTGCATCCATCCTTGCTCTACTTGACCTCTCAGCGGCTTTTGATACCATTGACCATGGGATTCTCCTGGGGCAGCTTCAGGGGATGGGAGCGGGAGGACTTGTGCTATCCTAGTTCACTTCTTTCCTCCGTGGCTCCTCTCAGCCAGGGTTGATAGGAGAGGAGAAATCCAGCACTCGCCCACTGCTTTATGGGGTTCCGCAGGGTTTGGGACTCGCTCCTGTTCAACAATTATATGAAGCCGCTGGGGGAGATCATCCATCACCATGGACTGAAGTATCACCAATATGCTGATGATACTCAGCTGTATGTCTCAGCCCGTGGTGAGTTAAGTGTTGCTGTGTCCTCCCTTTTGCAGTGCCTGGAGGCTGGATGGTGAGCAATGGGTTGAAACTAAACCCTTGCAAGACTGAGTGGCTCTGGGTTTGGGGTTTGTTGGCTCAGGGAGAATTGCCACCTTTGGTCTTGGATGGGGTGGTACTACCCCAAACAGACCGTGTGTGTAATCTAGGGGTTTTCCTGGACTCACGACTCCTGCTCGAAGAGCAGGTGCTGGTTGTGGCCAGGAGGGCCTTTGCGCAAGTGCGGGTTGTGCATCAGTTACGCCCTTTCCTGGACCAACAGTCCCTACTCACAGTCACTGATGCCCTAGTCACTTCCCGTCTTATTAAAATATGCTCTACATGGGGCTGCCCTTGAAGAACATCCAGAAGCTCCAGTTGGTGCAAAATGCAGCGGCCCGCATGGTTTTGTGCAGACCATGGTGTGCACATGTTTCACCTCTCCTACGGAAGCTGCATTGGTTGCCAATTTGCTTCTTGTTGTCACCTTTAAAGCCCTTCATGACTTGGGACCAGGTTATCTCTGAGATATACCTGGTGGGACCCAGAAGAAGGGCCTTCTCCGTGGTGGCTCCCTCTCTCTGGAATATCATTCCCCCAGATATTAGAATGCCCCCCCTCTCTAATACTCTTCCGGAAGGCACTGAAGACCTGGTTCTGCCACCGGGCCTGGGGAACCCACAGCGGGATGGAGCCCATCAAACGGCTTGTGTGATCTGCTGTCATCGGGGCGGTGGGTGGGAGTTGTGGGGTGATTTATTTATTTATTCCCAGATTTTGCTCTATTGTACTTTATTAATTTATTTGATTCTTTTGTTAGTTTTATTGGTTTTTTATTTTAAATATGATTTTACATTCTGTAAGCCGCCTCGAGTCTCATGGGCGAATAGGTGGCAATATAAATTCAATAAATAAATAAATAAATAAATAATATAATGCATCAATACATGGAGTAATATTTATAGTTAAAAGAAGTTCACAAGATTAGAGCATATACATGCTTAATCTTAGTCACACTGGGTTTATATTGTTTGTCGTTCTCTGAAAATGATAAAACTTATTTATGGTAATTATAGTACTGTTAATCAGAGCTAAGTACTGAACCAGAAGAACAAAATAGTAAAGGAATGCCCACTTTTTAGTGAACAAAGTAACTGTATACTGATCTCTTATGCTATGAAAAATTAAAAGACATGCAGTCATTATACTGTCAACATCACTTGCATGTTCACTGAATGCAAATACAGTCTGCCATTAGTCACAAAACTGCATATTCAACTGCCATCCAATAATATTTAATTGTTCCTCTTAGAATACTGTAATTTACATCTTTTTATTTCTGTTTCCAGGGACGTGAACTTAAATTCCCAGACCTCTCAGTAACTGCCATGCTAGCTGGGGAATTCTGGGAGGTGAAGCATATTAGGAAGTTGCAAAGACAAGGAAGTACTATCTTATGCATTTAAACAATAACTCACTTTTTCTGCTTCCATGGGATAGGATCTACTCCACAATTGGCAAAAAGATGAGGGCAGTACCTCACCTCAACATAGATCACCCCCTCCTTTGCTTTCATTTCCACAAATTCATAAGCAATTCTTTGTATAGCTTCTCGGTCACCTCTGCAAATAAAAAAGCTTGTTTTATAGTAGTCTTGGCTAATTCAGAGTCTGTAAAACATGGATTTGCAGAACTATAAGAGTACCAGGAAACAAAGTTCTAAACTAGCAACATACTATTTACAACTCTAATGTGTTCCCAACCAAAACAAAAACAACAAAACCCCCCCCCCCCCCCCCCCAATATTCTGGCTTTTCAAAGAAGCTTGGTAGTATATAATAAAAGTCATACAAAAAGATCAAGATTCTGATTCAGATCCAATCCCCAAAATGTGATGCAATAAGCTATATTTACAAAATTATGCAGGGAAAATATTTTCCTTATTTGAACATGAACTAAATAGATTCAGTTAATGGGAAAGTTCAGATCATTTAAATTTCCAGTTAGCTAAAACATAGAATCCTTCCAGTCCTTTTTGCATCCAAGTCCAATAATTTTCCTCTAAAACATGTACAGGTCACAAGGCACATGTGCTTAGAATAAAAATAGTTTTAATTCTAGCTGTGCAAAAGAGCAACAAATTAATGTATAATCAGAAATTATTGGCGATATTCCTTGCATCAATTCTGATCTGGAAACGGGACATTATTACAGTAGTGGTAAAAATTGTGGAAACATTTTGGGAAAAGTGTATTTTTGAGGTTTGATGGCTAATAACCAGGGGTGGGCTGCTGGAGGTTCACAGGGGTTCGAGAGTGCTCCTAGCTAAGATTCTGTGCAGTTTGGAGAACCCCCAAGTCCCACTCCTGGCTGGAGTCCCCACACGACCTGTTTTGGACGCAGGTAAGTGTAGAGGCTCAGGGAGGGCGAAAAACCGGCCTTCCGGAAGTTCAGGAAGGCCAGAAATGGGCCCGTTTCCAGCTTCCAGAGAACCTCTGGAGCCCGGGGAGGCCGTTTTCACCCTCCCAGAGACTTGAGGAAAGCCTCCGGAGCCCGGAGAGGGCAAAAATGCCCCCCCACCGTGTTGCAGGAGACCAACTAGGCCACGCCCATCATGGCCACGCCCACCCAGCAACCAGGCAAAGAAACCATTGCTAAAATTTTTGAAACCCATCCCTGCTAATAACACCACTTTTTTGAGAGTAGTACCATAAAATTATATATCAATGGGAAGATAATTTAATCAAGAATGTAATGCAACAAAGTTTGTTCAGTTATCTGTATTCTATCAAAAGTTATAACCAAATAACCAGAAAAAGGAAGCACAACTTCCTTAGATTGATATCAGGTAGCTTTCCTTCATCTGATTGTAGCCAATGAGCACGAGTGTTTAGAGAGCCAATCAGGTGTCATCTTGTTTTGGCAATGAGCCAATCAGATCACAGTAGGATTCAGTTATTGATGTCATGTATTGAAGCTGAGAGGAGGACATTTGTCAGTGTGTTATGTGATTGCTATCAAGTTGGTTGGGGTTTTTTTGTGTTCTTTCATTTAGTGAGCTTGTAAAACGTAGTAAAATTAAAGTAATGGTGCAAAGAGTTAACTGATCACCCAGTAAGTGATGTAAAATAGTATTATTAAGTAAATAAGGCTACAGTTATAAAGAAATTAGAAGAAAAATTGGTGGAAACTTAACCAAAGGTGGCATTTCTAAGTTTTTGAAGAGGTATAAGAAGGCTCAATCACTACTAAACCACACTGGTAAAGGTAGGAAAAGGTGCACAACAGCAAGTGATGATAGAAGAATTAATAGGCTGTGCCTACGTGACAGAAGAAAACCATCTGGGTGTATACAAGATGAAATGGTGCAAAGCAATGTGAAGTTGAATGCAAGGACTGTTCGGCGCAGACTGCAGGAATTTGGTCTAAAATCTAGAATTCCATGGAAAAAATCCACTTTTATCTCTCAAACAAAGGTTGAAAAGACTAAACTGGGCTAAAACCCGTGTTACCTGGACAGAAGAACAATGGGACAGTGTTATTTGGAGTGATGAGACCAAGATCTCCCTGTTTGGTAGTGATGGCATAAAATATGTAAGGAGACACTTTTCCATTAAGGTTTCCACAATTTTGGCCACTACTGTAAATCAAGCAATGTATGGAATGTCAAGAGGCTTATGGGCCGCAAAGAAATATGCCATTCATTCTTCCCAATTTTTAAATACTATGCCTCACCTAAATCATTATTAGCATTGGTACCCAGTGCTAGTGTTGGTCGAAAAATAACAAAATACATGACTTTGATTTTTTCTGTATTAGATTCACAGTCATGTGTTTCCTCTCTCATCTCTTTTCTCTCAATTTCTCATCTTAGGTCTAGATTCTCAAAAAGTCATAATTTGTCTATTGTAAGCTAGTATTAAAACCTAGATTTCAGAAATAGCTGCCCCATACAGATGAAACAGGCTTTAATTGGCTGAAAATCATGATACAAGTTGGTATCAGGGACAAAACGGATAAATGAAACCCCAAAAACATTATCTGATATTCTAGCTATCTTGATTCAATGCAGAGAAACTAGCTTTTATCAAAATGCTATTTCTCCTACCCATTAATCCTGCTATTTCTTCATTTTGCTCTTAATCTGTGAAAGACTATAACAAAGACTGCCTAACTACCTGGGTTTTTTTCTTCAACCACTCCCCAAAAGATTGTCTTAAACTTCATAGCCTATGAATGCTAAACTCAACTTTAAGAAATAATTACAAATTAAAAGAGCACAGACAGATTCAAATGCCATGGGAGCTTCTAACAGAAAATACAAACATATACAGTTTTGACTGAATTTATTCAATAAAAACTGCATAACCTCATAACTTCCCTTCAACAGACATGTATCCCTGAGTAAGCATGGGGAACATTTTAAATGTTTGAAATGCTGCCTATCAGGAAAGATGGTTCTCTCAACTAATTGTGGATTTTACACTCATCAACCCCAGCCAGCCTGATCAAAGATAAGGACTTTGGAGATTAAAGTCCAAATATCTGGAGGACACCAGATTGCCTACTCCTGCTCTATAGAAATGCAAATATAGTTTCCCGTTTGATATCCATAATTTGTAAATCATATCTTCTAGCAAGAATAAAACATGACAGTATGCACTTTGGAGCCAATCTATACTAGTATACCTGCTACGTGAAATTATTTGGATTCTTAAGCCAACAGTACTATTTGTTGAACATCCACTGTCCACATCAGAACCAACTGGATATATAGTGACAGCTGTGAACCTGTGACCTCAATTCTCCTTAACCAAAATCCCACCATCATTTAGTTCAAAGTTGAAAGATAAAAAATATTCCTCTGCTTTCATATAGCAATATGATAAAAATACCATGTAAGATAAACTTCTCATGTGGTTAATTCCAGACTTGCAGAGAAAATAGGAGGAGTATTAGTTATGTTTGCTGCCCTGAGTTGTTTATAAAAATAATAAAGATATGATAAAAACTAAAAGAAAAGAAAATCACAAACATATTGCTATAGGAGGGTATTTTTCTAGCAATACAAATTAGAACATTATATACATTAAAGCAAGAAAATGTGTAAGGAGCAGCATCCAATTTTAAAATTGCACTAATCTCAAGATCACAGCAAATTGTGCTGACAGCATGTGGTGCTGGTCTTAAGAAATCTCTTTTGACAGCAGAAATGCCCACATGGCTTCAAGAACTAGATAATTTTTCCTTCCCCTTCAAAACTATTCTGCTTACTTGGTAATTGATAAGCATAGAGGATTATCATTTACCTGTGAGTCATGTACAGTAGATTAGTATTCTCTCAATTGGAACAATGGCATTGATTTTTAAGCAGCAAATTAGAATGTGAGTTTGTGTGTGAGAGAGAGAGAGGAGGGGAAGGGGGGAAAGAGAGACAGAGGGAGAGGGAGAGAGAGAGAATATCAGAGAATGCATAAATACAGATACATAACACACTGACAAGCACAAGCTAATACAGGCAGGTAATAAAAAAGGATAAGCATATCATACTGCTAACCTAGCAAAATGAATATCAGTTTTTAAAAACTGAAAATCTTTTTTACAATAAGTAAATTGGAACAAATTATTTCACTTACGCAATAGCTGCCATGTACAAATCAAACTTTTGAAGAAAATAAGTGAGAGATTCTGGTTCACTATAACTAATTTGTTTCATAAGGCCGTCTACAGTATCCGCAGGGAGATGTATTCCTCTTTTCCTAGGAATTTTAAAAAGTTTGTATATCAACTGCTGAAATTTATTTAGGATTAGTTTTGAACAGTCAATTCTTTTGTGAGTGCATATGCTGATAAAAAAAACTGAATAGTCAAATAGCCCTGGCTAACTGTTATATAATACTTTTTAATGTATCCCCAGCTAACTTCTAACCTTAACAATGAAACATCCAATAAAATACATATTTCCTTTCTTGGTATGACTGTATTGATAAATTATATCCATGCACATCAGATGTTTCCTGAATCTTAATATCATTTCTATTGTCCCATTTCCTTGTGCTATGAAACACCTTAATAAACAAAACTGTCTTACTATTAACTCACAAACAGGAATTTCTAACCCTTACCCAAAAGCATAAATTACCATTGGAGTAGTAACTTTTTAATTACTGGAGTTACATTATTATGCAACAGCTTCTACTGGGATATAAGCCCTGTTCTCACTGTTTTCCATTTTCCTAGCATTTTGCCAACATTTTGTGATGCAATCTGTTTTATTAACAAATGTCCTGTAGCTTTTAAAGAAGTTTTCATGTTCAGAAGTTTAAAAATAGTCAGATATAAGTAGTGGGGTCAGATCCCAGTTTTTTGTATCCTATCCTTTCCTAACTTTCAGATTTTTCCATCTATTTTACTGGGGATCAAATCTGAGAAAATGATGGAAAAGATTATTGATACAATGAGAACCATGATGGTACAACTATGCTGCTCCCTTTTAAGCAGATTATACAGATGAGTAAATATAACTATGACTATACCATTAATTTAATTCCTGAAATAAAACCTGCTTGTTCTAGAACAGCTATATGGAATTTTACTGCTAAATTATGTTATATATGGAAATTTGCCTTATACACCTAAAAATATAAAAAGCAAGACTGAAGCCATATTTGTTCTCTTTGTGACCTGTTAGAGATCAGAACACTTATGCAATGTGTTGTTCTGCTAATGTCCTGTCTGGTTGTGAAATCATTTGTTCTTGGCTTGGGTTAATAAAATCATTTTGACATTATAGGGATATTGATGATCTCTTGTGTAATCTTTTAAATGGAAAACAGAAATCTGACGATAATGGGAATGTTGGGAGATTTCCATGGAAGGATGCGATTGTTTTATGAGGAACGTTGTGTAATTTCTATTTATGGTAAATAGGAAGTGTTATGTAACCATGTGATTATTATACTATATAAGCTGTATTCACTAGAAGGAAGTGTCTCCTTTCTCCTAAAATGGTTGCTTTAGGGTTAGGGGTCCGGTATTGCAGTATCTTATGTAATAAAGCATCCTATGGATTATCAGATTATCAAAGTCTGTTGATTTATTTATATAATAATCTCACAATTCCTAAAACAGCAACATTATATAAGAAGTGGGATCAAACGTCAAAATGTTTCCCCTTCTAAATTTAAATAGAATAATTGAGAAACAGTCTGGAAACAATATTGATTAAGGATAAAGTACCAATGATATGGTTGTTTTTTTAAAAAAAGAAGACCCAGAGTTGTTAACTTACTTGCCAAAGTGTAGAATAGTTTCTGGCTTAATGGCTCCATCCAAGTGAACATGAAGTTCAACCTGCAAGAGATAAAAAGATATATAAATCTACTGTAATTAGCCATCTAATCTTCACATCCAGCTGCATTTTCATTCTCTTATAACAAATGTATTCTCAGCCCCTTCATCAAAATGCAAGCCATTTTAAAATTTGATGAAAATTCAAATAATCTTGTGAAACAACATAGGAAATTTCAAGTTCAAAACAATAGCAAAACAACAACAAAAACCCCAACTTACATACACATAAAGTGCCTTGCTTCTGCTGAGGTGTTTTGAACAGAGGTTGATGACTATCCATGACTATTTGTTATATGAGAAAAATAATGTGTAACTGAAGATACAACGGTACCTATATTCTGTGAAAGATCTTTGTATCCAAAAGAAGCTTTTCCCTGTCCATCTTTAGTGGGGAGGTGCTCATCTCCATTTCCTAGCCAATGAAGTCAGGGTTGTCTAAAGACATTTCTGGAGTCATATGATCAGAATGACTATACGCCAAGATGCACAGAACGTTACCTTCTCACCAAAGTGGTACCTATTTATTTACTCATATTTATATGCTTTCGAACTGCTGAGAGGGGGGCAGGAACTGGGGCAAGTAATGGGAGCCAGAGGTGGGCTGCCGCCAGTTCACACCAGTTCTGGAGGATCGGTAGTTAAGATTAGGTGCAGTTTGGCAAACCGGCAAATCCCACCACTGGCTGGCCCTGCCCCCACCCATTTTTCGGCCTGTTTTGGGGGCAGTATTCAGGCTGGGTTTGGGGCCATTTTCAGACTGTTTTGGAGAGCTGTTCTCAAGACATTATGGGGCATTTTGGGTTGTTTTTCAGGCCAAAGATGGTCCCAAAACAGTCCAAAAAACAGCCTGAAAAGGGCCCAAAACCAGGCCTGTTTTGGGGCCATTTTCAAGCTATTTTCAGGCCATTTTCTGGGTCAAAAATGCCCTGAAAAACGCCCCCCCCCAAAAGGTCCAAAAAACAGCCTAGCAAACAGCCCAAAAAACAGGCCGAAAAATTGGCGGGGCCAGCCAGTGATGGGATTAGCCCTAACTGGCTGAATCTTACCTCTTCCTTTGAGGCGAGTGGCTAGGAAGCGGGGCTGGGTGTGATGAGTGACATCACCCACCTAGTCACATGACCAACCAGCCACACCTACCCAGCCAGCAAACTGGTTAAAAATTTTGCAGCCCACCACTGATGGGAGCTCACCCCATTGCGCAGCGCTCAGGTCTCAAACCCAGGCCTTCAAGCATTCCAGCCAACAAGCTCAGTGTTTTCAACCACTGAGCCATTGTGCCTTCTTTGTACCAATTTTGAATGCCCTTAAGAATTCAAGATATGTGATCCAAGCTTCATTCATACAGTATCTATGTGAAGTACCTGATCACTAAGTCAAGATGATATATCTCCCCCAAATTGATTCTGTAATTGACGTACTATATTTTATTATCTGGCATCTTGTACTAATATGAAGATAGCTTTAGTGACATACAGCATGAGACGGAGTCTACAACCCACACAAGTGGCTCAGGTAGTGCAGCTCATCCAGGATGGCACATCAATGCGAGCTGAGGCAAGAAGGTTTGCTGTGTCTGTCAGCGTAGTGTCCAGAGCATGGAGGCGCTACCAGGAGACAGGCCAGTACATCAGGAGATGTGGAGGAGGCCGTAGGAGGGCAACAACCCAGCATCAGGACCGCTACCTCCACCTTTGTGCAAGGAGGGACAGGAGGAACACTGCCAGAGCCCTGCAAAATGACCTCCAGTGGGCCACAAATGTGCATGTGGCTGCTCAAATGGTTAGAAACAGACTCCATGAGGGTGGTAAGAGGGCCCGATGTCCACAGGTGGGGGTTGTGCTTACAGCCCAACACAGTGCAGGACATTTGGCATTTGCCAGAGAACACCAAGATTGGCAAATTCGCCACTGGCACCCTGTACTCTTCACAGATGAAAGCAGGTTCACACTGAGCACATGTGACAGACGTGACAGGGTCTGGAGACGCTGTGGAGAATGTTCTGCTGCCTGCAACATCCTCCAGCATGACCGGTTTGGCAGTGAGTCAGTAATGGTGTGGGGTGGCATTTCTTTAGGGGGACGCACAGCCCTCCATGTGCTTGCCAGAGGTAGCCTGACTGCCATTAGGTACCAAGATGAGATCCTCAGACCGCTTGTGAGACCATATGCTGGTGCGGTTGGCCCTGAGTTCCTCCTAATGCAAGACAATGTTAGACCTCATGTGGCTGGAGTGTGTCAGCAGTTCCTGCAAGATGAAGGCATTGATGCTTTGGACTGGCCCGCCCATCCCCCAGACCTGAATCCAATTGAGCACATCTGGGACATCATGTCTCATGCCACATTGCACCACAGACTGTCCAGGAGTTGGGGGATGCTTTAGTCCAGGTATGGGAGGAGATCCCTCAGGAGACCATCCGCCATCTCATCAGGAGCATGCCCAGGTATTGTAGGGAGGTCATACAGGCACATGGAGGCCACACACACTACTGAGCCTCATTTTGACTTGTTTTAAGGACATTACATCAAAGTTGGATCAGCCTGAAGTGTTTTTTTCCACTTTAATTTTGAGTGTAACTCCAAATCCAGACCTCCATGAGTTGCTAAATTTGATTTCCATTGATAATTTTTGTGTGATTTTGTTGTCAACACATTCAACTATGTAATGAACAAAGTATTTAATAAGAATATTTCATTCATTCAGATCTAGGATGTCTTATTTTTGTATTCCCTTTATTTTTTTGAGCAGTGTAGTTTAGGTCAGTTTATTCATGAAGGGACTAGTGTAGCAGAGTGAGGAAAACTTGAACATACATAAGATTTTAACTCAGTTTAGTTTCATACAGGAAAAAGATTTAGCTACCATTTATTTTTCCTTCAGGAAAAAATAAAGCCTTGGTTTCAAATATATGACATCAACCAGTGGCTCTCAACCTTTTGGGCAACAGGGACCGGTTCCATGGAGCAATTTTTCTGTGGACCGGAAGGGGTTTCATTTTTTTGTGTGGCCCGGTTCCTGGCATGCCGTGGATCGGTGCTGGTCCATGGAGAGGGGGTTGGGGACCCTTGACATAAATAGTATAAACTTGAATTCAGAATTCTCTTGAACCGAGTTGTTAATGGGATAATTTCAATGTTGCAATTGGAATTTCACATTCTCCTTTCAACATTGTAATTGTTCAAAAATTACTGTTGGGATTTGGAGATTCTTTGGAAAGATAAAGACATTAGTCTGGGAACTGTAAGAGTAAAGAGGAAATTGGGGGAAGGATTATTCAGACCTTCCCTTACACCACAATTCTTCCTACAGATAGAAGAAAACTTTTGTTTGCAGAACATATACTCAGAACACACTTTAGAGTTAATATCTTTTGAACTGATCAACACTGAAAATGTCTCTAATGTTTAAGATGGAACTGAAACACAAAAACAAAGTCTCTGCTTAGAGAAATATAAAGAATGAACAGAGCTGCAGGGTAAAATAAGGGAAGAAGAGAGTGTATTGTTTCTCAAATAAGTTTATAGTGCCTGTTTGCATTAAAAGAACCAGAACATTTTTTTTACAATCTGTGCTGCGTACCACATATTTAACATTCTAAAAAAGTCAGTATCCTAACGGAAACAACTGCCCATCTAATACAAATTTGAAAGTTTCAGTATATGATTTTCATGATTTAATTGTTGGCAGTTAATGAATTTTTCTATGAACCAATATGGGGCCAAAAATTAACAACATGCTTAGATATTTTAGCTAAATCCATGAAGCAATCATAGCATCTATAAAACAAGGGTAGAGGAAGTAGGGTGTAAATGGGAGGTTGTGCACAGAGACAAGATTTCAATCTATAGTAGCATCCATCACTTTGGCCCCTTTATCTCTCCCCAGTTAATTCTGCAGGGGATACAAATGTCTGTAAATTTTGTCTGTTCATAATGATCAAGAATTTTCTAGATGATATTACTAAATCTGTGTGAGGCATTTTTTTTTGTTTTTAGGATACATCAGCAATTCTGAGAAATTCTTTTTTTTTATCTCCTTTGAGTCAGGCTTGACTTCTAGCAGTTGCAAGGACAAGCTTCTGTAATTTCCTTAGCAACATTTTCTGAAGTGGTTTGCCTTTGAGTTAGGGTTCCCCAGGGCTGAAAGAAAGCATGGATTTGCCCAAACTTGCCCAGCTGGCTTCTGTATCTAAGGCAGGATTAGAACTTGGGTTTCTCTGTTGCTACTCCAACATTTTAACCACTAGAACTGGTACTCTAGAATAGCCAAATCCATAACCTGGGTTAAAACAGATAAAATTGATATAACAGATCATGCATCCCACAAAGTATTAAATATCAAAAATAAAATCTATTTTCAACTTTATTACTCATTATGACAAACCAAATTATATCACTAACATCTTTCTGCTATTACATAAAACCCTATAGTCCAGAATAATGTTCTCTCATTCAAAATTACATTAGATTTAAATGATCAGAGCTAAAACTTATTTTATGAAACTGAGATGTTCTTGATTTTTATTAATAATTCCATTAGCTTCACAATAACCTGTTTCAAAATAATCGATCAGTAATACACTACATGGATTGCAACTATATATTTGGCAAAGAAAAATATGTCATATAAGTAAAATAGATGTCAACTATTTCAGCCAACATGAGAGGACGATGAAATATTTTGTTATATGATTTGCCTAGAAACTCAGTTCGTTATGGATTGACCTGGAAAACCATCTTTGGCCCACTATATTAGCCCATCTCAGGCAGGGAGGGTAGGCTCTGGACTCCCATCAGTTAAATAATTTTGACTGGCATGGTCCAGGAAGAAAGCCTGCTCTGCCATTGTCCGTCCCCCCGCCCCCTTTGGAACATTCTCCCCCTCCCAGAGATGAGGTGGGCCCCCACTCTCCTGCTTGTTCAAAAATGTCTGAAGATTTGTTTCTGCCAATTTACTTGGGGCTTGAACAGGAACACGTAGCTGTGAAGCTTATTAGCACCTTGAAGGCCTCCACTGCCTTTTTAACTTTCAGTTTTTATTATTCTATTTCTGTCTTAACTGCCCCCTGTAGAAATATATTTACATTTCTTGGTTTTAACTGTACATTGTTGAGTTGCTCTGTAGGTGAAATAGGTGGTTTCCAAATTTGATAAATGACTAGAATGAAAGACACAGAACTGCCTTGAACTGAGAGATGGGTGGCAAATAAATATAAGAAATAATGTTCAAATAATGCATATAAACATCTATCTTTGAAACATCTATCCAGATAGTAGTTTCGGAGTACAGTAACAGAAGCTGCTATGTAACATATGCTTTAGACTAGCATATGGGTATGTAGAATTTACACTGTGAAATGTAAATGCAAAAATTCTTACACAGACCAGTTTTGTAAATGTCTAGTCAAACATTCAGGTATCAGTGGCCAAAAAGAATTAAGTTTTCCTCAAAAGTGACTTAACATTGTCATTCACTTGCGTTTTTCAGATAAGGCCTGGAGAGATAAAGTCAAACTGCATTCCAGGTAATTTCAACACCACCGTCATCTTGGTAACAATGCATAAATATCCTTGTGGGATTTTCTTTTCAATCTCCCGATCTAACATATAACCATATTTCCTAGTGGTGCCTCATCCAAAATTGATCATAGACAGTTCCAGCTTAGGAGCAAATGATTACCCACAATCATCTAGATCCGTGGTGGTGAACCTATGGCACGCACAGAGCCATTTTTGCGGGCAAGCCAAACTTATCTGCACTGCACATGTGTGCACCTCCCAGCTGATTTTCAGCCCATTTGAGGCCTTTTTGTGAGGCCCAGAGGCTCGAGGGAAGCCTCTGCAGCCTTTGGAGGCCGAAAAACAGGCCCATTTTGCCACTTATGGAAATACCGGAAGTCACGAAATGGGCCCATTTTTTGGCCTCCAAAGGCTGCAGAGGCTTTCCTCAAGCTGAAAAAGGCCTCAAATGGGCTGAAAATCAGCTGGGAGGCGCGCACATTCGCAAGGGGCGGCGGGGGGATTGTGCGCACATGCACAGGGAGTGTGGGGGGGCACATGCATTGCTTTCTGGGTGCTGGCATGCAAGCACGCGCACATGCACACAATTTTCAGCTAGGTTAGCCACACTGATCTAGATGTTGTTATCTGGCTGGACAAAGGCTAGGGATCACATGATAAAAGATAATTCTTTAATTAAGAAGGATTTAGAAACATGGGGCAAGCTGCAACTTTCATTATTAGGCAAGATTGCTGCTATTAAAATGAATATTCTTCCAAAATTCCTCTATATATTTGAGACAATTCCAATTAAAGTACACAAAAAGTTTTTTTGAAGAACTTAATAAAATAACTGCAAAATTCATCTGGCAAGGGAAAAAACCTAGAATAAACTTAAAGACATTGCGGGATATGAAGAGCAGGGGAGGGCTGGCACTTCCAAATTGGGAGTTGTATTATAGTGCAGCCTCTTTAGTATGGTTGAAGGAATGGGTGAATTTAATAAGAGAATATTATTCTTAGAAGGCCATGACGTACAGAGGGGCTGGCATGCTTTTTTATGGGATATTGGGAAAACTAGCCAGAAATATTTTCACAGACACCTAATCAGACATTCATTATTGACTAATTGGAAGAAAATACAAAAAAAACACTACTTAAAGATACAAATTTGGATATCAACACCAAACATATCAATGTTTGGATATCCAACATTATTTGGATCCACCCAAATAATTTGGATATTACTAAAATGATTAAATATAAGGACCTATTGGATACGCAAGGAAATCTGAAATCGTGGCAAGACCTTCAAGATCAGGGATTAAAAATTGATCCGTGGGCATATCTTCAAATTCAAAGTAGATACAAACAGGACAATAAAGAATTTGGAATTAATAATAAACTCCAGCAATTAGATAAAATTTTATTAGGATCAGGCAAAAAAAAATAACAAAATTTTATAATTATTTATTCGAGGTAGAATTAGAGGAAGAAATTGTTAAAGGGAACATGATAGCCTGGAGTAGGAACATAGGATGTAGTATCACCTTAACAGAATGGGAAAAGGTCTGGGGTAGAAATAACAAAATTGGTAGAGTACAAAGATAATTCCTATAAAATGTTTTACAGGTGGCACCTTCCTCCTTTGAGATTAGCGAAGATGCACCCCAATATGAGTCCGAACTGCTGGAAATGCAAAAAAAAAAAAAAAGAGGGAACTTTCTTCCATAGGTGGTGGTCTTGTGCAGAAGCTCAAAAATATTGGCAGAAAATTAGAAATTGGCTTGAGGAAATGACAAGAGAACAGATCAAATTTAAACTAGAGTCCTTTCTATTAGGGATCTTTGATAAAGAACTACCAAAAAAAGTGAAATATATAATAATACATATTTTGACTGGCCAGATTGGCTTTTGCACGAAGTTGGAAACAGCCTCATGTTCCATCAGAGGAGATGATTATTCAAAAAATTTCAAGTTGTGCAGAAATGGACAAATTAACCTTGGCATTAAAAGATAAAGACACTTCAATATATTACGACAGCTGGAACAACTGGTACAAATGGATAGATCAAAGATAGGCTTCACACTAAAAGGCAAAAGATATGATAGAATCATAGTAGTGATATACAAATATATGTAAGGATTAATTGTGTATATGGTATAAAATAAAGATAAAAAGGTCTCACAAATTGTTGAAGATGAAAATGTTTTTAACTGTTTTCTTTCTTTTTCTTTCTATTCTTTTTTCTCTCTTTCTTGTCTTCTTTTTCTCTCTTGCATTTATGTGTGTGTTGTTGGTCTATTTTAATTGTAAAACCGATAAAGTATATTTAAAAATAATAAACAGGCAGAATTACTGATGAAACAAGAAACTGCAACAGAGTAAAATGTTGGATAGCTGTGGGAAGTGACAGCAGAAAGACAATAGAGGCAATGAAGACAGGAAAGAGATGAAATGTCAAAGGGTGAAATATATAATGTAAGCAACTTTGGCTAATTAAGACAGGAGATAGCAATCTTAAGGCGTCAAAAGGATGGGAAACCACGAGTTAGTTTGATGACAATCAAGTGTAATTTGGATTACCTGATTCAGTCGTTATTGGATGGAGCCAATAAAATACAATTGAGCCTAAAATTTATGTTGCTAAGTGAGACATTTAAGCAAATTTTCCCAATTTTATGACCTTTCTTGGCACAGTTGTTAAGTGAATCACTGCCATTAAGTGAATCTGGGTATGCTGCAAAGTGATCACACTACCCCAGAACACTGACTGTCATAAATACGAGTCAGTTGCCAAGCGTCTGATTTTTGCTCATGTGACCAAGAGCATGCTGCAATGGTCTTTAAGTATGAAAAACAGTCATAAGTCACTTTTTTCAGTGCCTTTGTACATGTTGAAATGTCACTACATGGACTGTTGTAAGTTGAGGACTACCTGTAAATGCTCAGTTCCATCCAGTCGCCCTTACTCTACCCTGAATAGGGACTACAGAGTCGTAAAAAGGAAGCGTTTTATCCAGTCATTATGAGCCTTGGGCTGCATTTTTAGCGAAAAGCGGGTGATCTTTAAGTCGGTGGAAGAGGCACCTCAGCAACGAGGAAAATACACGGAAGGGAAGAGCCCCTCGGAGATGGGGAGTGGACTCAGGCAGGGGAAGCAATTGAAGCAGTTCTCCAAGTACAAAGAAATAAACCCCGGCACTCTGTGAATCACCAGAGGGCAGAAAAGGAAGTCCGCAGCTTCAAGGGAAGACTTAGCGGAGGTCTCAGTGCCTCCAACTCCCAGCCGAAGTAGCAGAGAAAGCGCCCAGTCAGACCCCGCACCGACTGCTCACTCACCTTGGGCTTATCGAAAACAGGCAGACTGCACTCCATGCTGCCGCCAACTCCAACTGCTGGCTTAGTTCAGGATTCCTGTGGCTGCGCCGGCCCGTCCTGTCAGGCTTTTGAAGGGGTAGCTCCGCCCAGCGGTCGTTTTCGAGGCCGGTCCGCCCGCCCAGTGGCTCTCCGGGAGCTACAAGGGCGGCTGGGGTGAGAAAGTACCGTATTTGTTTATATATATATATATAATGTATTTTATATATTTTCCAGCGAAAAGCGACCCTGGGAAGCGTGTAACAAAATTGTAGAACAATAAATTCTCCCCGTGCTTTTGCTTCCCCTCCAAGCGCGGCTGGGCCAACCCCCGGGCGCCCCAAAGGCTTCAGAGACAGGTTAAAGTTGTTGTTGCATGAACAGGGGTGTGTTTTGGGGGGGGAGAGGGGGGAGGGAGGGCAGGAGGAGGAGGAATAGATTGAATTGGAATCAGGGTTTTTAGAAGATCGGAGGAAAACAAAATAATGGCAAAGGCCGAACGGTTGTTGTCCTGATGAGCACGTGTTATTGTAGTGCCTAAATCTTTCCAGGGATCCCATTTAGCAATGCGATAGACAATATTAGAATAGATTTCATGGTTTCAAATACTGAATGGTCTTGGGAATAAGTACCATAGGCATTCAGAGCAGAATTGTTTTAAAACTAGAAATTAAAAAGCGAGTATTTGAAACTATGACGAATGTTTTGCCCAACCCAATGGCTTTTATTCGACCTGATGTTCCAGTAAGAATTGGGTGTTTAAATTCTCTTCCTTCCTGTTATATTTTAAAAAAATATTGCAAGATAGACAAGTTTAAAGTACAGATGTTACTGAAAGCATATTTTACAAATATGCTTATTGTTCCCATATCAACTGACAGGTTTAAATTAATCTTTGTACACAACTCAGAACAAAGTGTTTGAATTGTCTACTATGCCTTGCATTTAGCAACACTTAAGATATAGTAGTCTTGTAGTAATAGCCAATAATATGACATATTTAACTCTGTTTAACTGCTATTTACCTATCTACAAGATGGTGTCATTGGACATAAATAAAATGAAGATTACTTCAGTCAAAATTATGAAGAACAGCCTTTAGGGGGTTTTTTTCAGTATTAAAATGAAATATTCCAGTTTCTCATTCTCTGTTGGTAAGACTTCAAATAATAATGATTTGGCATTGTCAGAGTTACATAATCTTTGTGGCATACTACATTGTATTTCTGCTTGTCACTGCTTATTCTATACTAATATTTATGTGTAAATAGATTCTAGTCTCTAGATTAAAATGTATTTTTAAGAATATCCTGCTATTTGACTGCTGAGTCATCCTAGGGCCTCTCCCCTTCTTCAGTTAAATACAGTCCTGGCAACTTCTGAAGTCATCTTTACTTATGTTGGACTAGCATATATCCCCACCCCACCCCTTCAAAGGTAGTTTCAGCAAGTGCACAACCTGTTAGGGATTCCATGCATTAGCTTGAAGAGAAGCCAGGAAATTGGCAGTAAAATTAAGATAGGGATTACAGCAGTAATAAGAAAGCAGATTACATGCAGATCAAATTGTATGCTGACTCAAGTGATTTGTAAATAGCCTTGTAAGTTTAAAAGGCATTACACCTTCCCTTAGCCCAAAAGTAAAGTTGAAAGCTTAAAATGTTGCTTAACTATAGCTTCCAATGCCTCAAATCCTATTCCCAATGGTAAAGGATGCAGTGAGTTGTAGTTCAAATCAGATGTAAAAAGCCATAGATTACTTATCCATACATATATCAGAGTTTTAGAAGACACATATCTAGTGCTTTGCTTTATCATGCAGGCAAACCAGATCTTGGTGTTCATCAGTCTGGGAGCTCCAATCTCTTCACTTCCAACATGGCTCACTATAGTTCAGACATCAATCCATATTAAAAATTAAAACCCCATATTCAGTTCCATATATGCTTGCACTCTCATTTTCTCTTTTCCTCTTATTTTTATACACATGTATTCATGCTAGCTATATTAATACATCAATTAATGCAAAACTCTCATGTTTGTTACAGTTTGCAATGAGGTGTGAAGTGACACTCCAAACCAATACTTATAATAGTTTAAAATGTTTCATTTATTTTGCATTTTTATTGTGGAAATTACAAATTATTTTCATTGGGTATTTGGATATTCTGAATTTGAATCTTTTTTTAATGATATTAGTGGGGGTTAGTTCTGGGGAAACTTGCTTATGAAGGATAGCATGCATCATACATTGTGTGTTCAGGCTTTGGCCTAGCACAGTGTATTAACTGGTGTAAATCAATTCTAATGTCTGACCATAAGAATACTAGGATTTTCCTTGACCTCCCATTTTTATTAGCATTTTTCATTGCTTTGTTTGCTGCTGCTTTCTAATTCTAATGGTAACCTAAAATGAACTATTGCAAATTAATGATGGTATGAAGAAGTACAGATAAGACTGAGGAAACCTCACTGGGAAAGGAAGTATGTGGTTCTTTTGCTTGCTTGGTGAAACTAAATACCAAAAATAAAATAAGGCAATTCCTGGAATTGGTTTTGCAGCTAGATTCAGAAGGTGATTAATGCTTTTCTAAGGAAGGGCAAAATGCCATAGGTTTTAAAGAGGTGGTAATATGACTTTCCTTGAAATGACCACCTCTCTATTCAGCTGTATTAGGCCACTTCTGCCCCAAGTGCTAATTATAACCTATAAAACCCCCCACCCAATAGATTATAATTAGCATTACAGTACTGAGATTGATTATGCCACCTTGATTATGATTCTGTCACATCCAGTCAATCCCAGAAGGATCTGAATACGCTTCCACCAAGAAGGCAGGCCTCTCTGGCTGCCATATCATAATGAAACAGGTTGCCCTCAGTGTTATGGCCCCTCATGTCTAGCATTCAGGAAAACACTAAAACATTTATTTGAAAATGGAACATTGGTTCCTAATTGATGGTGTCTGAGTGAAATGGATTGACTTAAATATGCTGTGTTGAGGGGTTGTTTTATTAATGGGATAGATAAAATGCTTTGGGGATAGTTTTTATGTTATATTGACCTGTCCTGTTTACCACCCAGAATTATCTGTTTGAAAGGTATAGAAAGGTATGAATATACAAAGAAAGAATGCTGTAGGCATGAATTGAGACCTATCTCTAAGCACATACCCATTAGAGCAGTGGTTCCCAAACTTTTTCAGTCCACCGCCCCCTTGGTTCTACAAACTCATCCTTGGTGCCCCCCACCCAGGGGTGGGATTCAAATTTCTGTGGGCGTGGCCTAATTTGAGGGTGTGGCTTGCTGGTCATGTGACTGGGTGGTGTAGCTTGCTGGTCACGTGACTGGCTGGCGTGGCTTGCTGGTCACATGACGGGGTAGATATGATTTGGTGGTCATGTGACTGGGTGGGCGTGGCCAGGTGACTGGCAAACCAAATACAAGTGGTCCTCACTTAATGGCTGGTTGTTTAGCAAGTATTCTAATTTATGACTGGCCTCTCCAGAGATTTTTGGAGCCATGCACACTCCCTTCTAACCCTGCTGGAGCAGGTCATTGCACTAGAATTGGCAAAGCATCTCTGATTAGATTCTAGCAGTGAATAAAATCTAATCAGAGATGCTTTGCCGATTCTTGTTGATTTGTTTTATTTGTATCTCTTTATTTTATGTTGCTGAATTGCATTGACATGTGTGTCTCTTCTTGTGCACAACCCAGAAGCTTTTGTGATTCTTTGCAGCAAAAATTACCGACCTCCGGCTTTGCTCTACTTTTCAAACATGCCGACACTGCCGTGTTCTAGGTGCCGGCCCCACAGGTCCACCCCATTGAGCCCACTGCACTGGAGGGATCTGTCCAACCAAGTCAAGTCAATGGGGTGAGCCTGAGAGAGGGAAAGAGAGAGAAAGAAAAGAGAGAGAGAGAGAGAGAGAGAAGGAAGAAAAGAAAGAGAAAAGGGAAAGAAAGAAAAAGGGACAAAGAAAGGGGGGGAATGGAAGGAAGGGACAGAAAGAAAAAGAAATAAAGAAGGTGGGAGGGAGGGAGGAGAAAGATAGTGAGATATCTATTCTAGTCCAATCACCTGCTCCAGCAGGGTTAGAAGGGAATGTGTGTGTGTGTTTTCCTTGTAATTTACCAGTACATTTTGGTTTTGCCTTCTACACAATTGGCACTGTAATACATTGGGGAAAAGTAATTTTTAGAATGGAGATCTGGTCCAATGGATCCTGTTTAAAGCCTCAACAAAATGTGAGAGCTTCCTGATAGTCTTGACCATGTTTTGTCCACAAAACCTTTAATAGAAGCCAAATATGTTTCAATGTGCTGGCAAAGATGTTTCAATGTGGAAAAGGGCCTCAGTCTAAACTAGGCCTCATTTCAATCTGATGCATCAGATCTCTCTCTCTCTCTCATTCTCTCTCTCTCTCCCTCCCTCCCTCCCAGACTGGCTTTGCTCTACTTTCCCAATGTGCCTGCAGGGCTGGTGCTTCGAATATGGATAGATGGATGGATAGAGAGACAGACAGACAGACAGACAGACAGAGACAGGTAGGTAGGTATGTAGATAGATTGGTAGGTAGATAGGCAGGCAGGCAGACCTTTTGGATGAATGTATGGATAGGTAGGTAGGTAGGTAGGTAGGTAGATCTATATTGGTAGATAGGCAGGTAGGTAGACAGAAAGACAGATAGGCAGGCAGGAAGGCAGGCAGGCAGGCAGACATGATGGATGGATGGATGGATGGATAGATAGATCTATATTGGTAGGTAGGTAGGTAGGTAGGTAGGTAGAAAGAAAGGCAGGCAGGCAGACAGGCAGACCTTTTGTATGGATGGATGGATGGATGGATGGATGGATGGATGGATGGATGGACAGACAGACAGACAGAAAGAACGAATGCGACAGCAGTGGCACTTTCAGAAAGTAGAGCAAAGCCAGAGTGGGAATTGAAGTCCACACAAGTTGTCAAGGTTGAGAAACACGGGCTGAATATATCAACCCAGCCATTCTGGTTTAGAGTTTAGCATGCTATTTGATTCCAGCTTAGTCAATGAATAAACCATGGCGAAGATCTTCCTGTTCCTTAATGCAGTTGCCCCTCTGCCCCTTCTGTAGCCCCCTGCAGCTGCCCCTCTGCCCCTTCTGAGCCCCCTGCAGT